CAGTATATCCATCCATCGATCCATCCGTTTTCTGTACACGCTTATTCCTTTCAGGGTCGTGTATATATATCGTTGAAGCCCTGTGAGTGCTTCGGCTGCAAAGTAACATGTTTTCTTACATTTTAAAAACTTCAAAGAATATAAAAAAAAACACATACGATAACTTGTTCTTAATGTGATATCAGTCAAGTTCCCTCTAATTGCCAAACTGCCCCAAAACTAAAACCAAAACCTCACAAATCAAGTCCTCCTGAAAGACTAAATCTAACAACTCCAAATCAACAAAAAAAAAAAATTGTCATTATAATTCATTGGAAAAATAACTAACCTGAGCTCATTTATTTATTATTATTTATTTAACCAGACAAATCCCATTCAGCAACAGACCCGGGGATAATCTGACGCATGTTTTAGATTAAAGGAGGAACTCGGTGTGCTTGCAAAATCCACACAAACACAAGGAGAACATTCAAACTCCACTTGGAAACAGACCCACACCAAGAATTGAACCCAGGTCTTTCTTGCTGAGGCAACAGTGCTAACCACTGATCCTTTATACTACCTGCATTTAAATACTGAGTAGGACCTTGTGTAAATTGCAGGTAAATAAATGACTTTAAACAACATTCAATTCACTAGCAAGGACCACACCATGGTAAGAGTTTAAATATTTTATTGAAGGCAAGGGKTCTAAGGGTAGTGGGGATGAAGGAAGGTGTCAAAGGGTAGTGGGATGAATGATGAGGCGTCTGGGGAGGTACGTCGAAGGAGGCTTGAGGGGAAGACTCAGAGTGGGGCATGTCTCCAGGAAGGAGGTTTTCCTGAGCCTGCTTTGGACCCCCCAGCTGGAACCTGAAAAGGAATGGATTAGGAGGTAGTTTGAGGTAGGGATGGAGGAGAAAGAAAGAAGCAGAGATGGAGGGATGGAGGAGTGTGGGGAGGGGAAGAAGGGATGAAGGGATGAGGAAGGGATGAAGGGACGAGGGAGGGATGAAGGGATGAGGGAAGGATGAAGGGTCGAAGGGATGAGGAAGGGATGAAGGGAGCGAAGAAGGTGATGCAATGAGGCCTTACAGAGGGGCTTAAGTGGGGTGAAAGAGGAGGGTGGGTGTCGAGACGACGAGCTAAGGGAAGACGCCAGGTGAGGCGAGTTTAAATAGACGCTGACTGATTGCTGCAGGTGAGAGGCGTGGTCCTGCACCTGAAACTAAGTTAATGTCTTAACTTCATTTGAAGCACTTTGGTATCTTAAGGACAGATTTATATAATTTTTTCTCAACTGCATTTTCTATTCTTAATAGAAAATTCATAGTAAAACAGTAAATATATTTAGTTTAGATTTAAATTTAATTCACCATTCTTGTTTTTCTGTTGTAGTTGATCAATAGAGAAAAAGAAGAGGAAAAAGGGAAGTGACCCGGCTGGTTGAGCCTGGTTCTGCTGGAGGTTTCTTCCAGTGAAAAATGACTTTTTTTTCTGCCAATGTGCTGCTCAGGATGGGATACTGTGACAAAGTGATTCAACACAATCTGCTGGATTCCTTAGATGTTTTTTGTGTACATTGCCCTGAGATGATGTTGTTACTTGGTGCTTTAAAAATAAGCTGTATTGAACTGAAATGAAATGAACTGAAGTGTTTTCAGAGCAGCCTCTGTTCTTTCAAAATGATTATGAGAAAGCTAATAAATAAGCTTAAAAATTAACACTAAGGTGAGGACAAAAGCAAGGAGAGTGTTGATTTTTTCTTTTCTATTTCTTACTAAGTGACAGATTTGTCTTAGCTATCTGATAAGGGAGGAGCTAAAAGTAAGATTATAAAGCTAACAGCGGGCTTCACCTGCCACAATATTCTTGGCTCGCAGAGGACTCAGTCATGGAGCTGCTGTTGACGATTCTTTTGAGTGTTTTTRTAGCWCTGGTCGGTGGACTGWACCTTCTTGGGGTTTTCCGAMAGCARMRACCAGGAGAACCCCCTCTCGACAAGGGTCTCATTCCATGGCTGGGCCATGTGCTAGAATTTCGCAGAGACACTTTCAAGTTCCTAGACAGGATGAAGAAGAAACATGGTGATGTCTTCACAGTACAGCTGGCTGGATATTACTTCACTTTCCTCCAGGAYCCTCTATCGTTTGGGGCTTTTGTTAAGGAGAGTCGAGAAAAGCTGGACTTCAACARATTCGCAGAACAGCTGGTCAAGAAAGTKTTTGGGTATSTAAGYATTGAGGAAGATCACCACATCCTTCAGAATACCAGCAATAAGCATCTGAAGGGAGAAGGCCTGGGTGTAATGACACAAGCCATGATGAGCAATTTGCAGAACCTGATGTTGCACAGCATCGGCTCAGAACAGAAGACCTGGAAGGAAGATGGCCTGTTCATGCTCAGCTACAACATTGTGTTCAGAGCAGGCTATTTAGCTTTGTTTGGAAATGTGCCACACAAGTCAAAGGGTGGTGAGGTGAAAGCCAAAGAGGAAGACAGAACTCAGTCTGAAACTTTGTTTTATGAGTTTCGTAAATATGACCAACTTTTCCCCAACCTGGCCTACGGGGTCCTTCCCCCAAAGGACAAGTGGGAAGCTGACAGGTTACAGTCCTTCTTCTGGGACGCTGTGTCAGTAGAGAAGATGAAAAACAAGGACAACATCAGTCGCTGGGTGTGGGACATGCAGCTTGCCAAAGAGGAGMTGGGCATGGAGGAGTCMATGATCAACAAGTACATGTTTCTGCTTCTTTGGGCTTCTCAGGGTAACACGGGACCTTCTTCCTTCTGGCTTCTGCTCTTCCTCTTGAAACACCCAGAGGCCATGGAAGCAGTCAGAAAAGAGGTTGATAAAGTCTTAAAGGAGACTGGACAGGAAGTCAAACCTGGTGGCCCCCTGGTTGACCTGACCCGTGAAATGCTCACAAAAACACCGATCCTGGACAGCKCWGTGGAGGAGACCCTCCGGCTCACAGCTGCACCCCTCCTCAYCAGGGCAGTGCTCCAGGACATGACYCTCAAGATGGCTGACGGGCGTGAATACTTCATYCGTRAAGGAGACCGSATGGCAATCTTTCCTTACAGCGCCGTTCATCTTGACCCAGAAATCCACCCTGATCCTCTGTCCTTCAAGTATGACCGCTTTCTGAATCCAGACGGCAGCAAGAAAACTGAGTTTTACAAAGCAGGGAAGAGAGTGAAGTATTACAACATGCCCTGGGGTGCAGGGGTCTCTATGTGTCCGGGGCGATWTTTTGCCACCAATGAGCTGAAACARTTTGTTTTCCTCATGTTGGTGTATTTTGAGTTTGAGCTGAAGAATCCTGATGAGAAGATTCCTGAAATCGACTTCAGGCGATGGGGCTTCGGCTCGATGCAGCCTGACAGAGATGTTCAGTTTCGATACAGACTGAGATATTAAACCAATCAGTGAGAAAATACATGTTGATTATCTCTGCAAGCTTAAATTTTATCCANATTGAGGAAGATCACCACATCCTTCAGAATACCAGCAATAAGCATCTGAAGGGAGAAGGCCTGGGTGTAATGACACAAGCCATGATGAGCAATTTGCAGAACCTGATGTTGCACAGCATCGGCTCAGAACAGAAGACCTGGAAGGAAGATGGCCTGTTCATGCTCAGCTACAACATTGTGTTCAGAGCAGGCTATTTAGCTTTGTTTGGAAATGTGCCACACAAGTCAAAGGGTGGTGAGGTGAAAGCCAAAGAGGAAGACAGAACTCAGTCTGAAACTTTGTTTTATGAGTTTCGTAAATATGACCAACTTTTCCCCAACCTGGCCTACGGGGTCCTTCCCCCAAAGGACAAGTGGGAAGCTGACAGGTTACAGTCCTTCTTCTGGGACGCTGTGTCAGTGGAGAAGATGAAAAACAAGGACAACATCAGTCGCTGGGTGTGGGACATGCAGCTTGCCAAAGAGGAGATGGGCATGGAGGAGTCAATGATCAACAAGTACATGTTTCTGCTTCTTTGGGCTTCTCAGGGTAACACGGGACCTTCTTCCTTCTGGCTTCTGCTCTTCCTCTTGAAACACCCAGAGGCCATGGAAGCAGTCAGAAAAGAGGTTGATAAAGTCTTAAAGGAGACTGGACAGGAAGTCAAACCTGGTGGCCCCCTGGTTGACCTGACCCGTGAAATGCTCACAAAAACACCGATCCTGGACAGCKCWGTGGAGGAGACCCTCCGGCTCACAGCTGCACCCCTCCTCACCAGGGCAGTGCTCCAGGACATGACCCTCAAGATGGCTGACGGGCGTGAATACTTCATTCGTAAAGGAGACCGCATGGCAATCTTTCCTTACAGCGCCGTTCTTCTTGACCCAGAAATCCACCCTGATCCTCTGTCCTTCAAGTATGACCGCTTTTTGAATCCAGACGGCAGCAAGAAAACTGAGTTTTACAAAGCAGGGAAGAGAGTGAAGTATTACAACATGCCCTGGGGTGCAGGGGTCTCTATGTGTCCGGGGCGATWTTTTGCCACCAATGAGCTGAAACAGTTTGTTTTCCTCATGTTGGTGTATTTTGAGTTTGAGCTGAAGAATCCTGATGAGAAGATTCCTGAAATCGACTTCAGGCGATGGGGCTTCGGCTCGATGCAGCCTGACAGAGATGTTCAGTTTCGATACAGACTGAGATATTAAACCAATCAGTGAGAAAATAYATGTTGATTATCTCTGCAAGCTTAAATTTTATCCAAAATTGATGGTAAAATATCATGCTTGTGTTACGTCAATACTATGAATGTAAAATGCTTTGCATTGGTACTCAACTTTAAACATATCCAATATTGTATTGTGATTCCTTTTCCCATGTCTTTTGCAAAAATTTTTGTGGCAAGTTAACCAGTTTACTCATAAAACATCTGTCTCTCCCATAAATCTGAATCAAGTCAACAATACTTTTACATAATATTTAGCAGCACTCCAACTGTAATATTTATGAATACTGTATATCTTGTACCTCATGCCTAGCTGTACAATAATTTATAATAATAATAATAATAATAATAATAATTATTATTATTATTATTATTATTATTATTTTACTGTGAACAGTACTCAGTAAAATGATCATCATTGTTTTCTGGTGTTGTGAACTTGTTAACAAAAGGTTTAAATTTGTTTTTTTTTTCACATGCAATTTTACTCATTCATGTACTCTTAAATGTGCTGATAAATGTAAACTCAACTGATTTTTTGTGAGTACATGGTCACATAATAAATGATCAAATCTCCTGAGTTTTACTGCTTGTTTATTTTTTTTCTCCAAATTTGTCAGAAACATAAAAACACAGTCATGGGTTTATAGTGTTTAAAAACGGAAAAGAGAAAAACAAAAATGCATTTCTTGTAGAAAAGTGAAGTTCTTTGATCGATTGATTGATTGCTGCCTGGTGCAAAGAAGTCTCCCAAAATTATTTTTAAAAGTGCCTACCTTTACATAGTTTCCATTAAACCTTGATTTTTAGGGAAAATTGTCATTTTTTATTAGTATGAGGCAACAGTGCTAACCACTGATCCTTTATGCTACCTGCATTTAATTAAATACTGAGTAGGACCTTGTGTAAGCTGCATGTAAATAAATGACTTTAAACTACATTCAATTGAAGCACCTTGGTAGTCAGATTTGTACATTTTTTCTCAACTGCATTTTCTATTTTTTAATAGGAAACACATAGTAAAACAGGAAATATGCTTATGGTTTAGATTTATATTTAATTCACCATTCTTGTTTTTCTGTTGTAGTTGATCAATAGAGAAAAAGAAGAGGAAAAAAGGAAGTGACCCAGCCATTCAGCGTAGCCCGTCGCCTGTCTTGAGCCTGGTTCTGCTGGATGTTTCTTCCTGTTAAAGGGGAGTTTTTCCTCTCCACTGCTGCCAATGTGCTGCTCAGGATGAGAGACTGTGACAAAGTGATTCAGCACAATCTGCTGGATTCCTTAATTTTTTGTTGTGTACATTGCCCTGAGATGGTGTTACTTGGTGCTTTAAAAATAAGCTGTATTGAACTGAAATGATGTAAACTGGTGTTTTCAGAGCAGCCTCTGTTTTAAATTAACAACAGTTTCAAAATGATTTTGAGAAAGCTAATAAGGACAGCAATGAAGGGGTGCTCCTTGTGGGGGCTTTGGGCCCCACGAGGAGCACCCGGTCACCACGATGCTGCATTTTCCTTAAACATGGGAAAAACAAGGTCACACACACACACACACA